ATTCTAACTATCAGTAGCGAGGCGTTAGCTTTTTGGCAAGGTGTTCACAATTTGATCAAAACAGAATTCCAACTATAACATCTTCCCCCTACTCCTGAGTTTTGTCTTTCCAAAAGCAAATAGCGTACAAGAGCAACAAAACAATTTATTTAAATGTTCGTAGTCTGTGATCCACTGGTTTTTATGGTAAATATCTGTAGGAAAAAGGCGACTACCACAGATTTCGACATTTTTACATCAGGTACGAAATTCTTCATATCTGGAGGTGGTCTATTCATTTTATGACTTAAAACCTTTTTTTCAGAAGATCGTTTAAAAAAGATATATGAATCAAATCTTTAATCACACATTTATCCATTTCTAAATATTATTTTTCACTTCAAATTTCTTTAATTTTTTTCTTTACTTTTACTATTTGCTAGTACAAAAGTGCAATAATGACTTTGTTTTTGGTTTATTTCCAACCTCTACATAAGAGTAAGAAACTCTCATGCATTCATTTACTCTTTTACTTTGTATTTACTATACGCGATTCAGTTTTTTAACTGAATCATTTGCTCATATAAAACGGCAACCGTGATTGTATTTGCACGCTTTGTATGAACTTATGGTTCAGTTTAATCGATTGAACCTCTTGTCAAATGTAAAGCGACATGCAGTGATATAAGTATTCAAAAATGAAATTTAAATGTGAATAACAGTCGTTTTGTCTAAGCGCTTTAAATATAGAAATTTCAAAATTCCAAATTCCAGTTAACTTTTTAATTGTCAAAATTACATTTAAAAGACAACAGCCGTAGCCATTAGAAAAAAATTAATAATTGATATATTAATTGATATCAATTAATCAGTTGATAATTAATATTGAGAAAGATTTCATATCTAAATCTAACAAAGTCTAATCGAATAACTAAAATATAGGTCGGGTACTTTTATTAGAGACATCTTAAAAACAAAAATTAACTATAACGTTAAAAAAGTAGTTTAGTTGGAGAAAGTGGATGTTCTTAAAGTACATGATATATTCCAATTGACGGATCATAAAAGTAATGTGATTGATAAGGAAGCTATGTTCTCAATTGCTACCAAAACTAATATGGAAAAATGATCATTTTAATACTTATAAATTGCTTTGGGATTTGGGATTTCCGATTTCGGATTTTGGATTTCTAATAATACACAAATCATGAAACATAAATTTTTTTACTGCATGGTTAAAAATCTTATCGCCTATCTGCTGCCGTCTCCATCTGTACATAGAAATTTGACCTGTAATGATTTGTGGTTCCGACACATGAAGGTAGAAAAAAACTTTCAAGGAAAATCCTTCCCCAATCTACATTTAACCACTCCTCTCCCCCTCCCCTGTCTTTAATTTCACTGTCATTTGCAAATATTCTTGCTTTGCAAATTTCCTGTCTGGGTTATAACCTAACCAAGCAGTTTCATCACAAACTATGATGAACGTATCAAAAATTAACTGCCAAAAATATTTGCCAAGAACTTTTTAAGTAAAACGTTAATGTTTTTTAAAAAATGTTTTAATCTAAATAAAATAAAAATAAAATAAAATGTGGAATTTAACTAACTAATCATTATTGAAACATGATTCATTGAGTTCAATGAATTAAAAATAAACTTCTGACGAAAAATATTGAAAGCAAATTAGAAGCAAACATTTACATACCTATATTGTTTGTTTATTTTATTTCAGATATTATTATGTTCTTGTTTTCAGACAAAAATATTTGAAAACGTCGGCACGCCTCTTAAAAATAATGTGTGACGTATATAATATAAAATACGCAATAATATTTGGTATACGTATGTGTATGTGTATATATGTAGAAGTATGTCGGTTATTATAGGTGGACTTTCGTACATTACATATTACAAAAACTCAAAGCTTATAACATTCAAAATATGATTAAAACAAGAATGAACGAAAATATTCATTGCATTATCTCGTGCTGGGCACAAAGCTGCACAGGATGGAATGTCTGTGCTAATGAAAAAAATGTGAACGCTTTGTTCTTATCAAAATAAAGCATAAACATGCTAACAGTCTCTTAAACACAAGTGTAGTATAATAGGTCAAAGCCGACTCTGATCTTTTTTGTAAATAAAGCAGCAATTTTTAAGTTTTGAAAATAAAAAATAATTTTTAATGCTGTGTAGCACCTACCTCAGTTGTTTCAATAAATCCATGGATAGAAGTGGATGAAGGGCATCAACAGCCACTTCAGCAGCCCTAAAGCATTGTGTTCGGAAATTGTTTCAAAAACACACAATCTTTTTCCTTCAATTATGCGTAATATATAAATTATATATCCACAAAATCTATCTTTGAAACGGCGCAGTGACTAAGCTTTGGCTTTTTAAAGAAGAGATCATGAGTTCGAGGACAACACCAGGTAGTTCTTGGAATTCTACGTATATTTATAACTTAAATATAATTGAACTCTTAGTACAAAACAAAATCTCCAACATGAGGTCAGACATTAAAAAGATCTTCCTTACAAAAAAATTTAATTGAGTATTTTTATAGTTTTTTTTATAGTTTAGTGAAAAACATTTTTAAAAAACTAATACTGAAATAAATTCCCTCACTTTATTCCTGTATTCCTGCATGTTCACCTAGATCAAATAAATATATTTTAAATAAACAACAGCGAAAGTGCCAGTGTCATTAAAAATGGAATAAAATAAGATAAAAATAACGTTAGTTAGCTCCACAATGAAAAAAGTTAGGAAAATATGAAAATGAATTCATTGAAAAAGGTTCGTAAAAAACAAATAGATTTACATTGTTAAAAATAAGCCCACTATCAATTCTTCAGAAATTTGATGATGCTTTAGTTAATTTGTTTTTGCGTCTCGGATTGAAAGATAACAACTGACGCCAGCTCAATATTTTCCTCCCATCAAAGTGAAATGCAGAATAAAAACAAAAACTGTATAAAGGTCATCTTTTGTGAATTCTGCGCATTTCCTGGAATTCATAATTAATGTTTTTCTTCTCTTTTAAATATTTGTAGATTCATTTGTGTTCTCACACTGAAGGCTTTGCCATTGTATATCTGCAAAATACATAATATTAAAGAAATTTTAATTTATTTACATATAGGTATACATATTACTAATTTTGTAAGTGGTCAAAAAGAAATTGGGAAAGTCCTTTATTGAATATATAATTGACATCGTTAAAATAGACTAAAGAAACTATTTTTCAATATAAGTTGGCTAAACACGAACTTGATAAGATCTCAAGTTAGCAAAAAGTTGATTTTTCGCAATGTTTAGAAGAAGTAGTCTTTAAAATGTGATGTAAATAAATGTATACTGACGTAAACACACTAGTTCAGAAAGAGTTGTTATTTTAACTCATCTTGAAGTCTCACTAGTCTCATCACCTGTTATCACCTGTCTCATCACCTGTCCCATCATCCTGTTAAGTTGGCCTGTCTAATAATAGGTGAATAGGTAATTAGGTGAAGGAAAACACTTAGTCGTTGGCACTGAAGAGTGGGACATAAAACATAAACATAAAACATATTTCTGTCATAATTTACTGAACATTGAACATTTACTGAACTTAATTTTTAATTTGACAAAGGATAGCAACACAAATTCCAGGTTTAATTGTATTTTAATGATTTTTCGTCTACCATAAACTGATTTTAATAATTTATTATTCATTCATTTGTTGCTTGTGTACAATTGTATTTACTATATATTATCATTGTCTCTAACACATATTTTTAATAATAGTATTCAAATATCAATTTCCAATGATTAACATGAAAGCAAAAAAGCAAATATTTCCGAAAATAGTTATAGTTATAATAGATAGTTTTTCTCACGAAAGAACTATTGAAATCTTGAGAAATATATTGAAAAACGATTATTTTCAAATTTCCAAATAAATAAATCGAAAATACGAATGTTTTCTTCACAAAAAAAACTATCTATAATATGATAGAAATATTTGTAGGATCGATGAGTGGGAATTGTGAAAATAAATTAAAGGGAAAAAATTGGATTGATAAGGATCCGGGGCCTCTTTTACATAAAACCTCATATTCATTAGCGTCAAATATATGTACAAGGAGGGATAATTGAGCAGTTAGACGATGTTTTATGGGGTAGAATTGCAATATTAGGACACACTTTCAGTGTAAACGTGTTTATACCTAACTTTAGCCTGATTTTAGTTCAATATTTACAATATTTGTTGCTTTGGACCCCAGCCTTACGTCTTGTGACCAATTGCCCAATTAATCTTGTCGATATCCATGAACTTAAATCTACCATCAATATGAAAGTTCGGTTTGAGTATCTGTACATAATATATTATTGTATATAATAAATAAAACGAGTACGTAGCTCAGTGGTGTTAAGAAACAATAATAAAATGTAAATAAAAACGTTCTCTCTAGTGAATGAATGAATTATTGCAAATTGAGATTTTTTGCTTGATAGTTGGTAATTAGTTTATTTTTTATTATACCCGTGTGGATGTGTATATGCGTATTTTATTATATTTAATTTATTTGTAAATAGGAATTTAGGAATAAGCAAGATCAGACACAAACATGAATTTCGACGTATTTTCTTGTTTTTGTTCTCATTTCGTCACCAAGTTTTATTCAAATATAGGAGGTTGCTACAATTTGCTAAACAACGTCATCAGTAGCATCGGCCTTATACGTTATCTATTTGCATTTAACTAACGAACTGTGTTTGTTTTTGTTCAGTATTTCGTTAACATTTTTAAAATAAACACTTGAGAGGTTTCGTCTTTTCGTGTTCACGCGAATTGCAAATAAATTCATTTGCGCAATTACAAAAATAAATTTCTTTTTCAATTAAAAATTAATAGACACGAGTAAGTTAAAGAACACATTTCAGTTTATATAAAAAAGTTTTATAACTAAATTAATTATTAAGGTTTTATCCAGTTTTTAAACAATGTTTAATTTGAATATGTTTTATTGCAGTGCTTTTAATTGAGACTATGACAATTCCGACACGACCAGCCCCAGCTCCGCCAGGTTCTCGTGCTCAAAATGCTGTAGCTGGAGCAAACGCCAGTCTCGAGCAATTACGGTTGCAATTACAACAACAAAATGGTAGCATACAAAATTTCACTGTTAAGTTACCTCCTCCACCCAAAGGATCAACAACAAATGGTGTACAACATAGAAACATATCGAATCATAGCAACAATAATAGTGACACAACAACTATAACACGGAAATTTCCACAAGCTCGTTACGCACCCGCCACAAGTTGGGACGACAAACCGTTTGATCATATTTCAAATAGTAATTTCAAAAAGGTTCCACCACCTAGACCCCCACCGCCTAAAGCACAACCGCTTGGACGTAAATTAAATGCACCACTACCACCGGCACAACAATCAACGAATATTTTAACGAATATTTTCAATCGCAAGAAATCTACTAGAGCACCAACTCCCACAAATACAGTGGCACGTAATTATAATTCCAGCAGTCACACTTACGGCAGTACAGTTTCAGCTTCCTCAACGTCACAATACAACTCAAACAATTATTCGTCTAATAATTGGAATAGCAGTTGGAATACAACTACCAACACTATTAGTTCTCAGTCCTCGTCAAGCTTAAGTACACTTACAGCGAATATCAATCCTCAAGAAGCACAATTAATCAGTTTTGATTCGCCGCCAAGTTCACCTACATTTACACAGAAATCGAATAAGTCAAACAGTGATTGTTTGAGTGTCGATAGCTTCAGTTCAGATTCAAATTTCAGTTCACCTCAAAATGGTAGTGTTTCACAGCCAGAAAGCGGTTTTGAGGATGATTTTAGCGCTACACGCAGTAGGCCGCCTACCACAAGTCCATTAGATCCATGGGAAACATTAGACGCATTCGATGCCGATTCAACAATATATGGCAATACTGCTACTATTGGCACAGCACCAGTTCGTAATCTTAACTCCATAAATACACGAATACAAGCCAGTAACGATAATCCACTATGTAACGGTAAAAGTTTGTTACCTCCAACAACATCATTAACTGTACCTACAATAATAAAACCTAAAATATCACAAAAGCCAAAAGCTCCAAAACCACCGGTGTTATCAAAACCAACATTTGGTTATAATAGCGTGCTGGATACTGATTTATCGACACCGCCTTCACCACCAATGCCACAGTGCCCACCACCAGCATTACCGCAATCAAATGTGTCTCTGCTGGATGTAATTTCTGGCAAAGCAGATGCCATACATTTAGGAACAGGTGCTGCCTATACTGAAGAGTTGCCTCAACCTTATGGCACAGCCTTATATGATTTTGATGGTGTCGAAGAAGGCGATCTTAGTTTTAGGGTGAGTAGTAAAAGAGAATTAAACTCTTGTTTAAAAATAATGTAAAGTTCAGTTTCAGTTTCACATACTGTTTTAATTACTGTTCTAATTAAACATACATTCTCATTCTTAAGTTCTAATTGAATTTAAATTCAAAAAATAGATTTAGGTTTTGCGCATATATGTGCTTTTAATTGTAATAAAATCAATTAAAATCGTATAAAGCTTTAAGCATTTAATACATATAAAATAAATGAACTAATTATAATGTAAGATTGATTAAAAATCATATATATAAGCGCTGTGGACTCCTGGTACCACAATACTTACATATATATTCTATATAATATGTAATATGTATATATGTGTAAATTTTTTATATATATATTGAATTATCGTTATAGGAAAACGAAAAAATTTATTTATTGGAACAAGTAAGCACTGAGTGGTATCGAGGTCGTACAAGAGCGGGCTGTGAAGGCATTTTTCCGGTAAACTACATTGATATTAAGGTAACACTTGAAAGCGTTAGAACTCCAACCAGTCAACAAGAGAGCACTAGAGAGCGTTCAAGCACTATTGGAAGTCAAAACATTTATAAACCAATAGCAGTACGTTGCCTATATAATTTTCCGGCGGAAGTGCAAGGTGATTTGGCATTAAAGGTAAATAAGAAACTGATTTCAAAAAAGTTGTATTTATTGAATATTAATTATGAATTATTTTATTTAATTTTCAGGAAAATGATTTTGTCACTATTCTGTATAAAATCAATGAAGACTGGCTTCATGGGGAATACGGTGGCAGGCAGGGTCAGTTCCCATCAAATTTTCTTGAATACGTTCCAGATAATATACCAATGCCTTGAATAAGTAACATGTGCGACTGTATGTGTTTTTTTTTCAAACCAAATCTGTGCTATATTACTAAAATCTATATAATTTTATATTTATAAGAATTATTGTGATGACTTATAAATATTTCGGTTTATATTGCAGAGTATTAAGATTAAATTATGATTGCGTAAAAATAATTATGTGAACGGACCTTTTTATAACGTAAAATTTAATTCAAAATTATATATTTTATAACTATTTATGCAAAAAATTATGGCTTTATATTTATAAAATTATCGAAAAATGTAAAAAGTTTTTCGTAATGATATGTAAAATTTTAATATATATTTACACGATAAAAAATCTAAAATATACACTTTATACAATTTAGTAGATATTATAGAAGATTATAAGATTTTAAAATAAACATCAAATTTATTAAGTAATTTTATAAATTTATAGGTAAAAAATTGTTTAAAATGAAATATTTTGCTTGTCACGGGTGTACGTCTTAAGAATTTAGTTTTATTTTGTTTAGTGATAAACTTACATGTTTGTAAATATGAAAGTGTTAGATTTACTGTTAATTTTACAAAGTACATTAGTTTTTATCTATAATTTATAATTGATTTCAGTTATTTAGTGAATATAATTTCTAGGAATTATTTGCCAATTTTAGTTAGCAAATATTGTTAAACTAAATAATAATAAATAATTCAAATTGAAATGGTCCATATATTTAAAACTACGGATGATTAAAATTTTGCTAAAATTCGCTTGTCAAATTTTGCTAATTTAATTTATTTATTAATAAGTATTTAACATTTATATATATATTTTTCATTCTTTCAAACAAGAGTAATTGCAATGAAAAAAGATACGAAAATTGTAATCTCTTCAATTTTAAATTGATAGCTGCACTAGTAGGAAAAACAAATTATAGTATTTCTAAAAAAATTTATTTGTATAATAAAAACGATAATAAAATATGTAAGTTGTAATCTATTTTTTATTGAAGTTATTGAATTTCATATAAAATATTTAAATTCATTAAGGGATGTTAATAGGGCCATCTTAGAAATGTCAGTCAGAAGCAACCATTCAGTTAGTAAATATGTAAATATGGAATTTCGCATGCGCTGGCACAGGCGTATTTTCAGGGGTGAAAGAAAGGAAACAATTTGTATCAACATTCGATAACGTACACAGAATTGTCATTTTTATATTAAAAGTCTTTTTTATAAATTTAGCAATAAATATTTGTATTAAATAAAACATGGCTGAATTTCAAAATATGCCGGATGGTGGTAACTATTGATTTAATATAATAAAAAAAAAGCTAGCATATTTAAGAAAAATATAATTAAATGTTTAATGTATGAACAAACATAGAAATTTTCATATTTTTTCCTTTTATAATTTATATTTAAAGATGATTTGAATTCAGAATCTGTGGAGGTGTTACGTGCACGTCTAAATACAATGAAAAAATTAATGGCCGAACGCACTGCCCAACAACAACAAAATCCTGCTACCACGGAAGAAATTTGGTCCACGAAGCGTCACACCACAGGCATCATTGATGGGAACTTTCTCAGTTTCGCATTTGCTGGTGCTTTAATGGTTATAATAACGGTTTCCATATATGCCTTTTATAATTTATACCACGCAATACTTAAAAAATTTCCATCGCATCACGAGGAACTTTAATTACATACATTGATATTGTACGTTTAAATTCGAAATAGACTTGAATATAAAATCGCTGTAGACAAATTTTGATTAAATTGTTTTTAAGTCGACATATAATCCTAAGTTTTAATAAACGGTTTTCTAAAGTGAAATCAATTTCGAGTATATAACATGAATATATATATATATGTATGTATACATAAAGCAATAACGAAAAATACAATTCATTAAACATATTGTTTGTTGTTGTATTATTGTACTTATTTTTCATCATGGGAGAGTGCTGTTGGCAATATACGTATACAATATAATTTAAATTTTATTAAAATTTAACTATAGAGAAATAAAAAAATTCATATAATTTTGGAGTTACATAAAAATTTTATAAAAATAGATTTTCAATCTATTAGTAACATAATTTGAACAGCAATATTGATTTAATATTTTAAATTCAATCTTTAGTTACCTCTTAGATGTGGGCACTTTTACTCTTTGATAGCTGGGGAGTTTCTGCAGAGTCCCACCGATCTCACTGACTAATTAAGTATTCCTCATAATCTTTGTGATTATTCAGTGACTGCTCTAAGATGTGCGCACCATGCGGTTAGTGATTTCTCTGAGATTAGATAGTATTAAGTAGGACAGTCTGTCGGTTTTCGCATATAGCTTCAGAGCTCTGTCCCTTATGTATTTTTTGACCAAATCTATTTTAAGAGCTCTTAGCATGTCATTCGTGCGGATCTACCATGGCACTTTGAAGAGCCTTCGAAGAGCCTGACTTTGATCAACTTTTAGTTTCTGGATAGAAGAGTCGGCAGCTTTGCTATACGCGACTTTGACTTGTATGTGCCTGTGCCAAATGAACCGCTTATTAAACGTGATTCCTACGTATTTAATGCTGTCATCCCTAATAATCACGATGTCACCAACTCTCGCTCTCGGTAAATGTTGCCTGTGTTTACGAGTAATAAATAGGGCCTTAATTTTTTGCATTGTTAATTTTTATTTTCCATTGAGATTAACATGCTCCTGTTAATCATCCATTGAGAATGAGATTAACATGCTCCTGCATCATGTTGGTCACATATCTGGCCTGTTTATAGGAATATAACGGGCAATTATCATCTGAGTATGTTATAAGGATAGCACCGAGAGACTTATTATAGCATTGGTATGTCTGACGTGATGATGTTGTACAACAAGGGGGAGAGTGGAGATCCTTGAGGAACACGGCTTCTATTCTTTGCACTGACGAGATGGTACTGTTGATTCTTACACAGAAGAACCTCTCGCGCAGGAAGCTGCCGAGAATTTTGATTAGTTCGACTGGGATATCAAAACGAGACATTTTAACTATCAGGCCGTCGTTCCAGACCATGTCAAATGCTTCGGCGATGTCAAATGTAGTCGTACCCGTTGATTCTCTTCTACTTAGGGCTGACTGTGTCATCTGAGCCGGTCGCACCAGTTGCAATTCTGTGTAAAGGTGTAAAACCAAGTTGCTCGTCAGGGAGAATATTCAGCGAGTTTACTGAAGTTTTAAGCCTGTCTAGAATCACTTTTTCAGCCAAGTTACCCAGAGCTGACAGTAAGCTTATGGGGTGCCAAGTCTACGGATATTTCGGGTCCTTGTCGGGTTTAGGGAAGACTACAACTTTGGCCTGTGTCCAGGTCTTAGGATATTCGCTTAGCCTAAATATGCAGTTGATTATATTTGCGATGTGATGGATCGCATCTCCCGGTGGGTTACGTAAGCATCTGTTACTAATTTTTTGTACCCTAGTGCATATCTTATATTCAATCTTGGGATGATTAGGGCGATTTCATCACTAGAGCAGGGCGTGATGTCTTCATCAGGCTCTTGGTCCAGGATATTGCAAGCATCCTCGGTGATTGTGGGGTTGTGTGTTATATATTAGAGGTGGAGTACTATCGATAGCACTATCACCACTATCGATGGTTTACCGCTATCAATCCAACATCGATGGCAGTGCCAGAATATCGATAGTCTACGATAGTTTGTCACAGCAACGCTTCACAAAAAAAGCATAATTTTTGGCATCTGTAGTTTGCCACGGCGTAAAGTGAATTTTAAATTCCGAGCGCATGTTCAGTAAAGCTGGACAAGTAGTTTCAGACTCTACTCGACTGAAAGAAAAAAACATCAATATGATGCTATTTTTAAACAAAAATCTTTGGTTTCTAAAAAAGCAATATTGTCGAAAAAAGAAAATAAAATTTATGATTTTTATTTTATTATATTTATGTAAAATATTATCTCCAAAAATTATATGAAATATATCATATTAATTAAATTTTAGTGGAAATTAAAAATAAAAACATGATTTTTTTGAATTGAACAGACATTGGTATTGAAATTAACATACTATCGAAAACTATCGAGAGTAATCGATGGTTTAGGAAAAAACTATCGCTCACTATCGATGGCGCCGACTATCGATAGTTCTCCACCTCTATTATATATAAAAGGTTTGTGAAGTTCAAGGAAAAACTAGTTTATATTGGTTCGAACATTTATGAGGATCAATTAGTTTTTGTTTTCATTTTTGTTTTGTAGATGCTAGTTCTGTTCATATTCGAATTTACGAAGAATTCGAATAGTAAACGAAGTCTTCGAAGTTGGAAAAACTTGGAAAAACTTCGAAGACTTCGTAAGCAAAAGGTGAAGTGAGAGCGGAAAATGCAAACAAACGTGCATCACACAAATTATTTGAGGGATGAAAGCATTTGCTTTGTTTGTACGGTTTTATGTTT